ATCTATCCATATCTACCGCCTGAGGAACCGTCCTGGGACCCCAGCGGGCGGTGGATATGGAGATATTTGGGCCCCAGGGGGCTCGAACATACCCATGTCCACCTCCTGTCGAGGTCTGCGAACGTCGATCCTCTGGGCCGTGGTCCGGTACAAATCTCCGCCTCGGAATCCGGAGCTAGGGGAGATGGGTCCAGCGTCACCTCGCCCTCGCCGCCCCCCTCCTCCTGTGTTCTCCTCCTTCTGCCTTCCGCTCCTCATCCGCCTTTCCCTCGCGCTTACGCCCGTTTCGGCAGACGCGGGCTGGAGAAGTCGGCAGGCACGCCGCTGCCGTCTGCGACGATTGCGGTTTTCCCAAAGAGAATACGGATGTCATCCCAGCAGACAGCTGGAAGACAGCGTTGCGGAGATATTGCGCGCCACGCTAGTTTGTTTGAACTGATCATGTGCCTGTCACGAGGCTTCTCAACAACAACCTCCTCCTGCTCCTCTGGACGCCACCAACATTGAGCCGGTGTAGATGGGGGCGAAAGGATCACACCGCATCCGCGTCGCCGTCGTCGACGTATCGGCGACGTCGGGATGGATAGCATCTGGCTCCAGATCGGGCCGCATCACCGATGCATGGGCGATGCGGCGCGATCCTCCGACCCCGCCTACCTCGGCCTGCCTTGGGCGGCTTGGGCCTTTTTCCCTTGTCTCCCCCTCTCTCCCTTCTTCCCTTGTCTCCCCCTCTCTCCTCCTCCTCCTCCTCCTCCTCCTCCTCCTCCTCCTCCTCCTCCTCCTCCCCCTCCTCCTCCTCCTCCATTCGTTTTCCGTATCAATAACGTCTCCCTTTCGCACCCTGGGGCCTGTTTTTAGGGCGGGCCCGGCGTTTCACCTGAGACTTCCTCACCACTCATGACTCTGAAGCTCAAAAGTTGGCAACGGCTTCGCAGATGGAGGGTGGGTCGTTTTCAGATTGTAGTTCTCGCCTTAGCGCGGCACACATTCGTTCAAACAAATTGCGAGAAATTCACGATCGAACGCGGCGCACGTGCGTTTAAACATTGCAAGAGCTTCACGGATTGAGAACGGGTCGTTTTCAAAATGTGGCTCTCGCCTTAGCGCGGCGCACATTCGTTTAAACAAATTATAGGAGCTTCACAGATTGAGGGCGGGTCGTTTTCAAAATGTGGCTCTCGCCTTAGCGCGGCGCAATTCGTTTTGAACATTTGCAGGAGCTTCACGGAGTGAGGGCGGGTCGTCTTCAAAATGTGGCTCTCGCCCTAGCGCGGCGCACATTCGTTTTAAACACTTGCAAGAGCTTTACTGGTTCCCATCATCAACGTGCCAGAAATGGCGTTTTTGAAAGGATTCAGGATTCCGCGGGCGCAACAGTTACGTCGATTCGCTGTGTTGAAGTCCCAGGAACGGCGTTCTAGCGCGATTCAGGATCGTCAACACGCAATAGTCAGGTTGATCCGTGGCGTTGGAATCCCGAGAACAATGTTTTGGCACGCTTCAGGGTCTTCAAACGGCTGTCTTCCAACGAGGCAGTTCCCTCAATGGAAATGCACCGTTGTAGGGGCATGTGAATAGGGAGCTTGGAGGGTGGGTTTGTTCCCACATCGTTGATGACTCTCCGGTTTGCACTGGTCCTCCTCCTCCTCCTCCTCATCCTCCTGGGCACAGCCTAGGCGGCGGACAGCGTCTGTCCACCGTCGACATCATCGGAGCCAAAGGCCGCACCTTGCAACCTCCTCCTCCTCCTCCTTCTCCCCCTCCCCCTCCCCCTCCCTCCCTTCCAAACCTGCCGCCAGGGGCGCGGCGCCGCGGCAGTCCCCGAAGTCGTGCTTGAACGGGCCGCGCCTGTGGGCGCGCGCGCTCTGCGCTCTGCGCTCGCGCTGGACGCTCACGCCGGTGCCAGCGCGGGCGGTCTGGAGGGACTTGCGGGTGCCCTGCCGAATGGGAGCATGGAGGACAGGGGATGGAATAGGAGGAGGAGGAGGAGAAGGAGGAGGAAGAGGAGAAGGAGAAGGAGGAGGAGGAGGAGGAGGAGGACGAGGAAGAGGAGGAGGACGAGGAAGACCAGGAGGAGGAGGAGGAGGAGGGGGAGGAGGAGGAGGAGCAGGAGGGAGTTGGATGAGGAGGCAGGAGGGGGGAAGAGGGACGAGGAGGAAAGATCCTTCCGTGCACGAGCTGCTCGAAAGAGAAGGGCCGTGCGGAGCAGCAGCACCCTCACGCCCCCCGCAAGCCCCAGCAGGCGCAGCTGCAGGCGCCTCCAGGGTCATTCCCCGCAGCGCCGCGGCGAATGAGCCAGGTCCAGATCCTCGGAGTCAATGTCAGCGCCAAGCTGTGCCCGCCCACCGGAGCCCTCCAACACGGCGCGGGCGGTGAAACGAGGACCAGCACACGCGGCGTGCACTCGGCGGAGCTGAGCGGAACGGCCGCACTCTGAGCCAACGCATGTCCTGAGAATCTTCGCAAGGAGCGGCTGCGGGAGCTCGTGCGGTGGCCGCCGGCGGCTTCCCAGGAGCGCGCCGCGGAAGCTGCGGCACTGTCGCCCGGGGCGCTGCCACCACCGCAGGGCGCGGGCCCCGCAGCTGCCGCCCCGACACCCTGGTGCACGAGCGCGCAGAGGTTCCCCAGCATGTCGAGGGCGCGCGGAGTACGATGCGGACCTCCTCGAATCGGCGAGGAAGGATTTTCTTCCAGGTCAGGCGGCCCACAGCGTCGGCGTCACAGGTCGGGCGGCCAGCCCGAGAGCGTCGTTCAGGGCGGCTGTGCAGTGCCAGGGCACACCGACAGCATTTTCTCTCGTCAAGGATGCCGAAGAAGGCTCCAGAGGCGTGGTGCAATGCCAGAGCACACCGACCGAATTTTCACTCGTCAAGGATGCCGAAGCAGGCTCCAGAGGTGTGGTGCGATGAGTTTAGGCGCGGGCTTATGCTGTGCGGCCGATCGGAGGAGGAGGAGGAGGAGGAGGAGGAGGAGGAGGAGGAGGAGGCGGAGGAGGCGGAGGAGGTGGAGGAGGAGGAGGAGAAAGAAAAAGAGGAGGAGGAGGAGGTGGAGGAGGTGGAGGAGGAGGAGGAGGAGGAGGGGGAGGAGAAGGAGGAGGAGGAGGAGAAGCCGTCGCGGCGGCGAGCAGCAGCGCGCGCGACGTGGTGCGACCGACCCTGCTGCCGAAGCAGCGCGGGGAAGTCCTCGGGCGCTGGCGCCAGGCGTATCAACCTCTGCGGCGTCGACCGGGGCAGGGCTCGCAGAGGCGACGACAGGGGCGAATAGTAATCTCGCGGTTTGTTTTTAGAATATCGCACGTTTGCCGTTTATCATGTTTCTTTTTTTGTTTATGCTTCTCTAAATGATTCGTAGAGCTTCCCTAAGAGCGCAGCGGCGAAGCTAGAGAGTAATTCCGGCGCGCTGGGGGGCTACTTGGACCGAAAAATCTCGACGGGGAGAGCAACACATGTACTCAGGTGATCTACGTCTTCGAAAAAGGCTCCCGGGCGAATACGTGTAATGCCCGCCCCTGGGCTATTCGCCCCTATCGTCGCCGCTGGGGCTCGTGTCTGAAAAAGCTCGCCAACAGCGCGGCCGGCGAGGGTGGGACAGGTGAGCGAGACACCACAGGCGATCCTGGAAGTCAGCACAGCAGACCAGGCACACTGCTGATGACATGTAAGATCTAGCCGGTGCGCGAACTGTATGCTTGATTCTCCAGTGCTGGGTCGAAGCCTTGGTATCGGCGAAGGCTTTGCCGCATTCGGGACATGCGTGCGCGCGCTGGCGACCATCCACGTCGGGGCTGCCGCACGCGGTCCGTGACAAACTCGAAAAGGAAGACTCCAGTCATGGAAGCTGACCATTCCGAGTCGTTGGACATGAACTCAAGCCACGCGGATGGATTGAGATCGAAGCTCGGCAGACGGGCGGCTGCACCGCCAAACTTCACAAAGGCCCTTGAATTGCTTCGGAATTGCATGACCCAAGGGAGACACTTCTCGCCTCTACGGAGGGAGGCGAGCGTGACAGACAATGCAGTCTACAGGAGGCACACCAATCTGAAACCGAGCCTGGAAGTCTGTAACATCGCTATGCTGGAATACCATCTCCCCGAGGATCCATCGCACAACGCGCATGTAAGTCGAATTAAAAGCCTGCGTGGTGCGTCCAGAGACTCACGGTCACATGCATGTTGAAGAGCAGCCTGGGCTCCACGAGAGAACGAAAGAACGATCCCGTAACGGCGCTCAAGATCCGAGAGCTCCCGAACACCTTCACGGCGATCGGGGAATACACCGCCATAGCAGCGCCCACACGGTGAACGGTGTCTTTGTATGCGTCGCCTCCGATGGCCGCGATAACGTCCAGGTGCTTGTAGCTGTCGACCACGTGCCCCCTGGGCGCGATTCCCGGCTCTTGCAAGTACAGTTTACCATCCTGGGTGCAACGACGGCGTTTGCGATGACTGCCCCGCGGCCGCGGTACCTGAGCAGACATTCGGCTTTGCCTGCGGACCAATTGATTTCGAGGTGCAGGAGCTCGAATATACGGGTGACGATCTCGAGTAATTTCTCAATCGCAACGTCAAACAAGACCCGGGTAGCGGCAGTGATCGCAATCGCTTCATCATCGACGAAAGTCGCGTCGACGAAGTTGTCGAGCTCCTCGCTGCCATCGGGCTCGCAGCCGCGCGCCGCGCCCCATGTCGGTGGCGAGCTGCAACTTTAGTACCAGAAGGCGGCCCCACTGGACCTGACTCGAAGCGAGATGCCCGCGGCCCGAAGCTCCCAATGAAGCATGTCGAGCGCCACGGCGGACGCGCTGTTGAACAGCACAGATCCGAGTTGAC